GGTTTCAACTACCGACCTTGTGGTTAGCAGTCTAGTGCTTATCCTACAGCTCTATACTATAAATAAAATGTCAGTTTTGAATAAGAAGATTGGAAAGCATCCCGGAAGTAACCTTGAAGTTGGGCCCTGAAGGCCAGGTGGAAAGAGGGGAGATGGGTCGAGGCAGCGTCAGGAAGAGAGGGCCAAACAGGCCAGGGAATTCCCAGAAGCCATCAGCTGGAGGATGGGTTGTATGGTGGGCCACAGGGTTACAGCTTTGGAAGGTCCTGGGCTGTGTTTGGGAGGTCATGAACAGTTACTGCAGCATCACACAGCAGGTCTGTCTCAGAAAGGTGTATTGATTTGGGGAGGTTGATGTGACCAAAGATGATATTGTGAAGTATCAACTGCAAAATCCTCCTAGAGGGAGGGAGACCAGACAGGGGATAAGAACACTGTCCCAGGCCGGAAGGTGGGCTGATGGGAAGACATTAGCCCAGGAGAACTTGGGAGGTGTAGATGCTACAACTGATGGAATCTTGCATAGGAGCATGCAAGGCTGTGGGCAAAGTGACAGCGGAGTTGAACAGTAATTACAGATGGGCGAGCAGTTGACACTCTTAACCCAGTTACAGAGAAAAGGAAGGGCACTTGTCAGGGAGTGGATGGCCAGGACAGGTATAAATGTTGAGTTTAATTTTTCTTAGAGTTCAGAACATATCTCTCGTATTCATTATCTTACCCCATACATTTTGGCAAAAGTTTCATTCTAGCACGCGTATTCAAGGGAAAGACATTCACATAATCCTAGTACATTAGAATTTTTCTTAAGGTTTATTATGTTATTGGACTTCTGGTGGGGTACCTAACAACAACAATAACTCAGCGACATTAGTTATAGTCATCATGGTGTGAAACCACCACCGCTGTTTGTTTCTCAGATTTCAGGCTCCTGGTGGGGCGTTCATTGTAGGATCAACACTGGACTTCAAACCACAAGGTCAGCAGTTCAAACCTACTGGCTGCTCCTCAGGAACCCTATACAGGGAATCTATGAGCTGGAACCAACTTGACGGCCCTTGACAACAACATAAGCAATTCATTTCCATTTCTCTCCCACTCTGTCCACCCCTGGTAACCTCTAAGTTTTGGGTTCTTTATGCATTTGCCTGTTCTCGATATTTCATATAAGTAGGTTCATACGACATTTGCCCTTGGTGTCTGACATTTCACTCAGTACAATGTTGTCAAAGGAGACCTGGGAGTATAGTAGATTCCAAGCTGGGCTGTTAACCTCAAGGTCAGCAGTTCAAATCTACTAGTCACTCAGCAGGAGAAAGGTGAGGTTTATCGCCTTGGAAACCGAAGACAGAGTCACTATGGGTGGAAACCAACTCTGCCTCACACCAACACTACCACCATTGTCACCAAGCTCCTCCAAGTCCTAGTATGTATCAGAACTTCGTTTCTCTTCATGACTGAGCAGGAGCAAACTTTCCAATACTTGACAAAACCAAGGAACTGCAGTCTGAGTTAGTTCATTTAAAAAGTCAGTCACCCCAAATTCCACCAACTGTTAGATACCTCAGTTTCTTCAGGTCTGCAACCCATCTGTTTCCCATTCTTTTCCTGTAGTTTATCTCCTCTTCTTCCTCGATGATCTCACGAACCTTATGCTTCACATCTGGGTCCTTCACAACCACAAATGTCCAAGGCTCCGTGTGGGCCCCACTAGGGGCTGTTCCTATCACCCATTAAATTATAGTCAGAAAATTACAACTGCAGGAAAACAGGACAATGCTTATAAAATCGGATCTCTTCCTAAATTTTGGACTATTTCGTAAAAGCTCTAAAGAAGTTTGCAATGGTCAAAATGTAGAAAGTGGAAATCATTATGTGTGTGGGAGTCAGACAATGCCTGGGTAAGATGGGACAGAACAACATGTCTCTCTAACTTTCTTCACTACATTTGAACATCAGCATTTTCTAACGCTGTCACATCAGTGGTGCCGCTGACGTTCTCAAAAGACCCAATGGGCAATCACAAACCTGCTGCCCTGATGACATTATCGATGACTTCCATAGGGACTTGTTCATCACTTATGAACCTGACAGACCGTCTCTGATTGAGAAGTTCATAAAATTCCTGGGATCTTCTGGTCATCTCCTGCTCAGAATACCGGATGTGGGAGAGCGGAATGTGGTCAATATTTTCTTCTGACTCTTGCCATTCATCAGTATCTATGAAATAACAACAAGGTAGGATATGAGCTCTCCTAATCATAAGAGTCCTGGTATGGCACCATGGGTTAACTGCAAGGTCGTTTGAAGCGCAAGGTCGGTGGTTCAAACTTACCAGCAGCTCCCCAGAAACCCTACACAGGGTCGCTGAGTTGGAACTGACTTGACAGCACTTAACAACAACAACAAACCTAAGATGGGCTCCTGGTGTGATGCTATAGGATCAGCACTGGACTGCGAACCAAAAGATTAGCAGTTCAAACCCACAGCTGCTCCTCGGAAACGCGATACAGGGTCACTATAAGTCTGAACTGACCCAACAGCACTTAACAACAAAAATCGTAAGATGGGAAGTCCTGGGATAGTGCAGAAGGATAACAACAAAGTCAGCAGTTCAAAACCACCAGTCACTCCTTGGAAACCCTGTTAGAGGGTCGTTAGGAGTTGGAACTGACTTGGTGACACTTAACTACAACAACAAAAATCATGAGATGGACACCAAGACAAAGATACAATCCTCAACAATATTTGTAGGATTATGAGCCATGAAGGTAGCAGCACAAGAGGAGGAAAAAGAGATTCCTAATAATTATCCTGATAAGTTACCTTGATAATTCTTTAAACTCTGGAAGAGTTTGTAAATCTGGTTGCAAATCAAGAAAAAAGACATTTTTCCCAACAAAGAGCTGAGGAACTTAAATTCTGGTAATGGAAGATGAGGTTATTTGAAACAATTGCCCGTTGGTTCAAAACCACTAAGGATTTGTAAAAGTCATTTAAAAACTCATTGAAGAGCTACGACATTGTAAGCCATTCCCCAGCCAAAACTGAAAGAAAATATGAAGCCACAGAGGTAAATAATAACAGAAACTACATTTGCCCTGAATGTGTTTGCCAAGCACTACAAATCTTAATTTCCATTTTTATATCTTCAGGGATCCAGGGGACAGAAATCAAAGTTCAGGCCCACATTCAGTAGAAAGTCTAATAGAAACCTTTCTCTCAATAAGCCAGGCTCCCAAGAGTGAATCCTAAACGAACCAGCCACCAGGTCTTGCAAGCGGGATATCTATCATTTTGGCAGATTCTGGACACCTCAAATATGACCTTGGAAAAAGGTGGTCCTGCCGAAAGGATCCCATGCACCTAACAGAATCAAAAGTCAATGCTCATATCATTTCAAAGTATAATTGCCAGCAATCTAACAAATCTAATCAAGTAGTAAAGAACCAAAACATCGTAAGCAAGAAACAACAAAATCAATTTTTAAAAACTAGAATCAAATACCCAGAGACTTCAAATATTGGAATTTTCAGACTGAGGCAAGAGAATCATTGCACAACTCAAAGAATGTAATCAATATCACTAAATTATACACTTAGGAACTGCAGATGGTGTATGTTTCACTGTGTAACTTCTTCTAAAAACAGCAAAATAAATAAAAATTAGAAGACACCTACCACTTAAAGGTGGGCTTAATAGCTATATTGTTGGTGCGTGCTAGCAGTCATGTGACAGAGCAGAACTGCCCCAGAGCGTTTCCTAAATTGTAATCATTACCGGGATAGATTGTCAGGCTTTTTTCTCTCTCTGAGTAGTTGGTGGGTTGGAATTGCAAAGCTTTCAGTTAACAAAAGCAGAAAGTTAGTGAACTAGAAGATGAGTCAGGAGACAATATCTAGAATGGGCAAGGAGAGACCAAAAGACAGAAAGCAATAGAAAGAGTTATAAAAATCGAGCAGAAGGGGAATAGACATCTGATCTAATATGCATGTGATCATAGTCCCAAAAGAAGAGGAGCAAGAATGTGGCAGAAGCAAAATTTGAAGCGCTGGTGAATGAGAAAGTCCCAGAATTGATAAAAAACAAAATAAAACCCAAACACAGACTCAAAGGCTCAGTAAATGCTGAGCAGTATAAGATAAAGAAGCCCATACCTTTTATGACAAAATACAAAACCCTTAAAACAACCAGGGGAAGAATGTTATCTTCAGAAGTACAATTTAAGAATGACAACTGAGTTCTTAACAGCAGCAGGACAATCACACTGGATACAAATGGACTGAAAGCTCCTGACGCAGGCTGATGAATTTTTTAAAGTCCAAAAAATGTTGCCCATAAGGTACACGTCTAAAACATGCAAATATAGAGAGATTGAAAGTAAAAGGATGAAAAAGGCATACCATGTATCATTTAACTATATTAAGACCAAATGAAAGAAAAATTAAAGTAAAAAGCATAATTGATCATAGAGAGGGTTACTTTATAATAACAAAAATAATTTACTAGGGAAACATAATTTAAAATGTGTATGCACTTGTATGGACTCCTGGTGTGGTGCTGTAGGATGGACACTGGACTGCAAGCCTCAAGGTTGGCAGTTCAAACTCACCAGCTACTTCTTGGAAACCAAACAGGGTCACTGTGAGTCAGAAGTGACTGGCTGGACCTTCACCACCACAACAACAATGCATATATATAGAACAAGAGATATCATTGCTGATGTCCGATGGATCTTGGCTGAAAGCAGAGAATATCAGAAGGATGTTTACCTGTGCTTTATTGACTACGCA